GGCGCCCCTTTTGGGGGCGTGCTTTTGGGGGTACAGGTCGCTTGTTTGACAGATGCTTTCCCGGTTCTTGGGGGGCAGGGAAAGACTTTCCCGGTGGGAGCTGTCCCGCGAGGAGCCGGGAGCGAGGCTCGGTGATCCTCGTGGGTCCCCTCCCACAGCAGGTGCTCTCCGAGTCTGTAAATCACTCACTGCTTCGTCTTCGCCTCCTCTTCTGAAGCAGTGTTCAGCGTTCGGGTCTGTTTGCGGTATCGCTGAGGGCGAGCGTAGGGAACAATAAAATTATTTTCAAAACTGAAACTGACGTTTGTTTGTTCCCGAGAGACTTTCTGTATCGCAAAAGATATTCGCAGTAAAACATGGCTTTATATAGGGCAAGAAATGCTTTTCTTTAAACTGAATTTATGGTTGTGAAATAATCCAAAGACTTTGTCCTACAGAATGAATGGTCACGTACTGTTTTTTTCACTCCTGCTTTCACAATCTTTTGGGAAACACGGGATGAACATTTCACAGTTGTAAAGAGCATAAATTGTCCATGATCCTACCTTGAGTGTTATGTTAAAGTGGAAGGCTAGATAAACTTGTTCCATGTAGCTGCCATCTGCCATGAGATTCTGTTTAAGCTTCAGATGTGGGGAGACCCCAAATCAGAGCTTGTTATTTGTGGTCTGTGTTATTTGTGGATCTTAATCTTGGATTATTTTACTTGCTTTAAGATACACGTTAAGGTAATAAATTTGCCTTTTTTATTCTTTCAGTCTCAGAAATGTTTCTGTAAGTAGTTTTGGTAAAGCATGAGTGAATTTCTAGTCTAGTTGGGATATTTAAATGCATGGCTCCTTGAAAAAGCTCCACTGGCTCATCTACTGAAAAAATGCACTGAAATATTAGATTTAAAATGAACATCAGTGATAAGAGATTTATTTTTTACTTTCTTATCATTCAGATGAATGCATATAAAAATGTGAATAGTTAAATATTTTAGAGACAAGACTTGTGATTTCTTTCTTCTGCACAGTGGCACTTGCTATAGTTTTCCTACTTGATACTTTCTGTAAAAATCAGCCTGAAATAACCTACTTGGAAACATTCTTTTTCATATTTTAAGTCTTGACAACGAGTAGCTTGAAAAATTTACAGAATACCTTCTAAACAAAAAGTGGAGGCCAATTCTAAATAGTGCTGAAGATGTGAGCACTGGGGATAATACTAGACTTTGAGGAACAGTGATCTGGTAAAGAAGCCCAGTCCTAACAATCCTGATCCTTAATAAGGAAATGAAGATGATGTCTTGGGCCTTTTGCTGGATTTATATTGCTGTTCTGATCTTGAATTACTTCAGTAAGAGTAATGTTCCATATGCTCAGACACATGAAAGAAAAATCAGTTTGTACTCAGAGCTTTGGAAGAGAGGGTAAACTAGCTAAATGTAAGAGGTAACCTAGATCCAGAAGTATCTTGTTGCAAGAACAATTAAAAACTACCAGTGGACCCTGGGTTTACTCAATTTTTGAAACTAAAAATATACAAATAAATGGAATTGTGCACATGTTTACATGCTTTGTTAGTCTGTGCACAAAACAGGGATAAGTGGGGAAGCTCGTGCTGTTTGCTTGCTGAGCCTACCACCTTCTAGTTATGTTTGATGCCTCTTCTAATGGTACCGGGCAGCAAGTGATCAATCCCCTATTCCTCTTCTGCATTTCATTGGGGAATTCTGAAGACTTTGGTGGTGTCCTCACTCAGATGTTCAGAATGACCTCTAACCTTCGTCATTGTTATTTGTATGGGATCTGTTCCCTTTTTTCACACCCTCCTATGTACTTTTTTTCCTTTCTTCTGTGTTCTTTTTGAGATGAGAGGACAAGAACTGCAGTCAGCATCTAAAATGTATGCACTATGGATTGACGTAGTGGCATAGTAATTTTGTTTTCTGTTCATCTAATAAATTCCAGTAGTCTGTTTGTTTTGACTATTGATGAGCACTGAGCTGAAATTTTCATAAGTCTATCTTTAGTGACCATAAAATCTCATTTCTGAGGAGTATAATTGACTTGGAACCTGGTATATGTAAAAACAGATCTGCTTCTTCATCATCATTGCTTTACCACGTAGATGATAAAAAGGCAGGTGAAAGTCTATAGTGTGAAATCGGAATTACAAGTTTTAGCAGTCAACCCGCAGCTTTTATTATCAAAAGCTTAACCAGCTAGCAGGCTTCTTCACCTTGCTGTGTGCCAGCTTTTTCAATCATCTGTGAACGTGTAGTGCAACCCAGCTTGCCAGATGGGACTGCACTAGTCACCCCTATCCATTTTGAAAGGGTTTGTTTTCATTTACTCATTTGTTGGCATATTCTCCTTGGCAAATACGTTTATGGCAGTTATCTTTTTTTCTTCATAGCCAGGAAGCTTGTATGCTGCTATTTCACAGCTGTGAATTTTGCCACAGAGCGATGCTCTTGAAATATACTATGGTAGCTTGACTTCGGAGCTGTAGAATTATTTTTGATTAGGTAACCTAGTTCTTGCAGTTTGGGATGTGATAGGTGAGTCTCTTGAAGAATGCAGAAAACTGACACAATGAAGGATGAGTAAAAAAAAAAAAGTATTTTTTTTCTTTAGCTGTGAATTATTATTTTACTTGCAGAACAAAGTGTGTGTGTATTTTATTTTACCCACTGAAAACACATTTCATTGTTCAGGTTGCATGTTGGGTTTTTTCTCTTCCCCAAATTTCAGTTATTTCTGCAACATAAAATATGGGGGTCTATTTAGATCTTCCAGAAATAATTAAAGGACAGTGGCTTGTATCATTGCCTCTAAATAAGGAAATGCTGCAGGGAAACAGGTTACTTCCATGCGCTTCACTTGAAGTACTTCTGTCAGCTGACAAGTCAGATTTTCAAATCGGCTTTTGTCATCTGAGTATCAGACCCTGCTATGTCAGAGACAGTGTTAAAAGAATTAATTTGAGTTAGCTTTTAAGCTTTAATTATTTGTATGGAACTGATGCCTACTACTTTTCCACATGTAATATTTCTTAACTCGTTATAGGCAGTTAAGTTTTAAGCCATGTGATAACAATATCGGAAAGGTCTAACACTAAGCTCCAAAGAAGATCCTTGATATTAGCATTCCTTTGAGATGCAACTAGATTCATAGGTTGTTTGAAGAAGTGATCCTTTTGCTTCCTTTTGAATGAGGAGGAATTATTTGTATGCCAAGTCTTTTTTGCTACTGCGAGGAATGACTGTTTGTGGCATAGCTTTTTAAATGCTGGTTTTTTATATATAAACCACTTACAATCCTCTGTTATTCATCGCCTTACTTGCTTTTGCAGGAAATGAGTTGATTATCTTTTTGGCTGACCAAAAGGAACCCTACTTTAAGCCCCGTGTTAAGTTACCAATGAAGTAAGTATTGATATTCAATGGTGAAACGATGTAAGCGGTCGTTTTTCTTAGAAGTGCACATGTGGGAACATGACTAGAGTTGTCTGTGCTGCTGTTACCTGTTTGATTATGTTGCTCAACTTGCCCTTAGAGCTCCAGTTCTTTGACAGCTTCCTGGTTAATTTCTTGATACATTTTTGTTTTGATTTGTCTGGATTTTGTGAGTCAGATGACAGAATTTGTGGAGATGAGTGTTGTCATTCATATTGTTAACTAATAGGTGTGACTTCCAACCCCCGATGGAATTTCTGTGTTTTGGGGTTTTGTCCTCTAATTGGTATTAAAAATACCCACATCTTGGAATAATTTTGCAATTGACTTATTTTTTCCAGGACTATTTCCTAGTAAAGCAAACTATCATTCCGCATCATAGGTGCAGTCTTTTTGGCAGGTAGTATTAGTCTCTGTCCCAAGACGTGTTTTCAGGGAAATTCTAGTTGCTGTAGTCACTGATAGAATCCAGCCAATATCATCTGCTTTAGAAAGAGATACGGAGAATGATGTTCTGGTGTTTCTGTATAGAGATCTGTTCTTTCTAAAGTTTAAATGTAGCTTTAAAAAAAGGATCGATTTTAATAAATGTAAAACAATCTGTGTGTTTATGTACATATATATGTATAGTTTTAACCATAATAGTATCACAGGATATATTATTGCTTATGAATAATGCTTATTAATAGTATTATGTCTATTAAAAGTTAAATTGCTGTTATAGCTCAGCTTCATCTTCTATAGTTCTGAATATCTTTAATTTTCCTTATTCCCTCCTACCTTGGAAGCAGTAATTTTAGTGCATTAGAAAGGATCTGCTTTTAATTCTTAACAGAACGATCCGTGTTTGTGTGTGTAAAGCAGAGACTCTGAGTATGTAACCAAGTAAAAAAAGATAGAACAGGCAAAGGTAGGGAGAAGTGTTAAGATGTGGCAGATAATAGGAGGAGATGACATTGTCTTCAAAAAAACTGGAACTATATGTCTGACCCCTGCTGCTTAAACTGCTCCTGTTGATGATCTTGCTTTTGGATGAAACTAAAAGATCCTACTCTCTGAAGCACATTTTTGAGGACTGGTTCTACACAAATGAAGTGATTTAATCAAGTCTGGATAGCATTAACAAATAAGACATGGCTGAAGAATGTTAGCTGAAGTTTAGAGTTAAAATTGTCATCCTTCCGTAGAGGAAGACAGCCTGCAGAATGCTTGATTTAAAGTTACCTTTGCAATATATAAGGGCTTTATAAAAAGCTAGGTGGTTGAAGATAATACTGTATTGGACCAACTAGTAGTAATTGGGATGAAAATGGAAGCCTTTGAATGCACAAGTACTTTCAGTTTTCATGCACACACTTGTGCTATTATTTGCATATGGGATTTTTTGTTTGTTTTTAATTCTAGATCTCTAAGTGTTACCATAACCAGTGTAGTTCCTGGAGATTATGATGGTGATTCACAAATGGATGTCCTCCTGACTACCCGGGCACAAAATCATGGCAGAGATGAACTTTCAGTGTTTATTTTCTGGGGGCACAACCAAACGTTAGGTGAGTTGCTGAGACTGCTTGTTAATAAGATCCTTAGACTTGTTAATAATTCAAAGTCTTGTCAGAAAGCCCTAACTCATTTTACAGTGTAGTGATTTTTTTTTTTTTTACAACTAAAATAGGGATTAGTAGCCATTCAGCTTCATATCCGTATATTATCTGGTTGTTAAACTGTATTCAATAATTAACAAAAGAAAACAGAGCTACAACTCTTGATTTACATCATGCAACAGACATAACCAAACAATAGTACAGTTTGACAGTAACCTACTTAACGAAGAGCTTCTTCTCATGGCTTCCCCATTATGTGTGTTGGCTTCACAAAGATTATAAGAAGACTGATCTTGAATTTAAAATGTGCTGAGAACCTGGTGCAAAGTTTAGTGCATAAACTTTGCAAATAATCATACCTAAACTTACCAACAGTAATATAACACTCTTGTTTCTGTTAAACCAAATTCTTTAAAGACAGTGACACACTGAAGTAGGTTTTGGGAGAGGGGTTTCTAGAGTCTTTATCACTGGAAGTTTTCAAGAACTTTAGAATTGAGTTTTCACAAGTCTTTTAGCAGTGTTCTAGGTATAGCTGATTCTATCTTAGGGTAGAGCCATGGACCGTGTAAACTCTTGAAGTCTTTTCTGTTTTCTGTTAACTTTGCTAGGAAAGGGTTGTGGGGAGAGTTTAGGGTTTGAAGGAGGACAGAAAAGTAAAAGAAGAGACTCTTAAGTCATAGAATCATAGAATCATTTTTGCTTGGAAAAGACCTTTAAGATCATAAAGTCCAACCATTATCCTAATGCTACCAAGCCCACCACTAAACCATGTCCCTAAGCACCACATCTATACATCTTTTGAACACCTCCAGGGATGGTGACTCCACCACCTCCCGCCCCAGCCTGTTCCAATGTCTAACTGCTCTTTCAGTAAAGAAATTTTTCCTAATATCCTATCTAAATCTCCCCTGGCACAGCTTGAGGCCATTACCTCTTGTCATTAGTTACTTAGGAGAAGAGACCAACACCAGCTTCACTACATCTTCCTTTCAGGTAGTTGTAGAGAGCAATAAGGTCTCCTCTCAGCCAAGTCCACAAAAACTACTGAAGAATAATTACTATTATAAACAACTGCGTTAAAAAGAAGTCACAGGTGAGGCAAGTGAAGGCCTGAGATACTGCTGCTTCTGCCTTTAATCAGAGGTGAAACAAGCAACCTGGGAAAGTGCACTCGATCAAGTATTAAGAGAATAGAATGGTTTGGGTTGGAAGGGACCTCAAAGATCATCAATTCCGGTATAGAAGGTATCTGTAGCATTGGGAAGAATATAAAGGATTTGGAGTCATTTCTGAATAAAGAAGTATTGGGAGAGGCATAAATGAGCATACAGGGCTTAGAAAAGGAGTCAGAACTTAAAAATGCAGGCAATGGTTGGTATGTGGTGAGGCTACTGGGAAGGTATTTGGTACCTACTTGGGTAATGGCAGTGTGACAGAAAAGTCAGTAGGAGGATACTGTCACGTAAAATGTGGGAACTGGAAAGACTGGAAAGAAACATGGAGACATGAAGGATGGTGTGGCAAAGAGTTTGCATTACAAGTAAAAGTGAAGTCTGAGAGGTCACAATCTGATTAGGACTTAAAATCCTCACTGCCCATTTATGCAATCTACCTCTAATCCTTATTTCAAACACTCAGTGGATATGATTAAGAATTTTTTTTACAGTTACAAAACATTAAACAGAGGTCTTATCTACAATATTAAATTTTTAGACTTCATCCCAACTATTTCGGGTTTCATGTGTCTGATTGCAGTCATACATAGAAATAGTTTTCACCAAGATCTATTTAGAATAATTTGTTGAAGGGTTTAGTGGAGAGAGAAGGAGCTTCAGCATTTTAACTGTGACTCACCTTTCCTGCATCATTTCAGGAAGCCATTTAGTTGTTTTATGTTCAGTGGTGGCTGACTTTTTTTTTTTTTTTAAAATCATAAAATAGATGGTTGTAAATTAATAGAAGAAGAATTGCATCTAAGTTAAAAATGCAGGTGTCGTATTGGTAACTGAATCAAATTAATATTTTCTGTTTTCAGATCTTAACCATAAAACTATGTTAAATAAGACTTTTCACGATGAACCTCTAGTAATGGAGTAAGTATGACCTACTTTTTTAGAAAACAGCATTTATAATGGTGACTAAGAGCAACTTAAGTATATTTTTAATGCCAAAATCTGAATGCCCTTTATCTTTGAAGAACAGGGTTCTTTCTGTAATGTCAACTGATCTAACAAAAGGTGATGAAACATGAGTCATCTTTTTACAAATCTGGTATACTATACCATCTTGAGAATAGTAACTACATAAGCTTTTAATTTTTTTAATTTCTGTTTTATGCAGAAAGAGCCATTCATTTTTTTTGGTGAGTTTTGTAAAGCAAAAACCTTACTGGTTTATCAGACGGAGCAAATATCCCCTTCACAGTGCGCTTCCCTCTGTGTGAAATGCTGAACAAAAGAGAGGGGGGAAATATAGCTGGAAAATCAAATGCATGGCATAGTGTAAAATATTGGAAGAGGCATAATACTACCAGCAGCTCAGGCAAGAGCTAAAATTCAGAAAAGACTACACGGCTGAAAATTCTTCATTGCTTTGTGGGAAACTGCTAACCAAATATAGGTTAACTTAAGAACAGTTAATTTCAACTCTATAATGACTAAGGTGATACTGAAATTGTTTTACATTTTCAGCTTTAATGGAGACTTGATTCCTGACATCTTTGGTGTCACAAGTGATTCAAGTAAGCCACAGATATTTATAGGCGGGTAAGTTAAACATTTGTTTATTAGCATGAATTTCAATAACTTACTCATTGTGCATCCGCTTCTGTTCTTACTAAAGAGGCATAAGTCTCACGTCTGACTGGAACTGTGCAAACATATGAATCTTCTCTCATTACCGTCTGTATCTTTAAACATTCTGCATCTAATTTTTAAAGTGTTACTTTATAGGGGAAGTAGTTGAATTATGGGGGAAGTAGACATTCCATGAGGGCTGAGAAAACAAAACCCGTGTAATTTGCCATGAGAAATAGTATAATCCTTTCTTGGACCAGTTACAGTCTCCTTTGTGTAGTACACTTTGGTGTTTATTATTATAATCTGTATTATGGAATTCTGTACAAAAATGCAAACCAAAGTTTTTTCAGTAGCGTCTGTAGAATTTAAGCTGCATTTAGTCTTAATAAATGAAGTGACAGGTTGATGATGTGAGAAGTAGTGGAACAGATCTTATGATATAAGGGATGGTAAAAGCGAAATGTGCAAGAGTTTGGAGTAAACTTAAAAAATTCAGCTCTCATTTATCTAGGAAATTAATTGTAATGGGAAGGTTAGACATGGGAGATCAAAAGCATGGGAAGTGCAAAGTGTAAGGGTATTAAGCTGTATATTAAGGAAAATGCTTATTGGGGGAAGAGATGAATAAGGCAGAGGCAACTCAAAGTAGCAATGTAAGTGTGCATGCAAGTCATGTTCTCTGTGGCACATCTTTTGTGTTAAGCAGTGGCTAAGGCCACTCTTTGGCAAACAGAAGTTGTCTGGAGTCTTCTGAGATGAGATTGCAGTAAAGGGGAAAGTTTAATTACTGAAGTTTCTGCCAGCCCTGGAATTGCTAGAATGGGACTAGCTAGCAAATACTGGAATAAAAATGGTTATTTTTATGGCATATTTAAATGGTTAGTAAGGATTATTTTTGTTTAACTGTTTTGGGTATGAATGCTGAAATCAAAGCACAACAAGAGAATGGATCTCTGCTGACTCAGAAGAACGAATCTCTAAACAAAACATTAGAAAGTAGCAATGTCTCTAATATTCTGCAAGATGCTGAAGAACTTTAAATCTGTCTTTTGAAAATAATTTTTACGTTATTTGTTAAATACACTAATGGACCCTAGAAAAGGACAGTTCACATTCTATTCAGTTTTGCTGTTACTGCTTTTGAAGTTTGTAATCTGGTAAGAAAAAAGAAAGCTTTGGCTCTTGAGAGCTATTATGATTGGGTATTCAAGGACACAAATTGGTTCAGTAACTCTGAGTTACTGAAAGTTTCATTATTGAACAGGATGAAATATGGGTCTGTACATCTTTTCCTGTGCCTTTTGCTAAACTGAGCTTAGTGTTCATTCAGTCCTTGACTTTTGTAAGGCAGAACTGCGTTGTTAGTATTGTAGGTTTGGGCATTCTTTGAAAAAGAAAGAAGCCTCAAAAGAAGGATACTTGCATTAGAACTTTTTCCCTGATCTAGACACTTTTCTCTCAATTGTCAATGAATGTGCTCAAAAGATAGCAGAAATTATTTTTAGGATCTAAGTTGGATTATAAATGTCAAAGTAAATACGTTGTTCTTAGCTTTGTGATGATATGAAAACACTCTTTTGACACTTTCTTTTTGAACTATTTTCTTTTGACTGATAATGAATAATTTTCAATGAATAACTGGAAAAATTAGGAACCAGGCTTGTGTTTTCTTAGAGGATTGGACCTTTAAATCAGTGGTTTGAAGAAGTTTGCATCTTCTTGCTGTTTTGCAGCTTTTAAGTGGAACTTGGTAGGGTTGTCTTGAATGTTATTCAGTAACATTAACATAGAAACTTGCAGCTCTGTGTGTTTCAGGAGAAATCCAGGTGTTGGCATCACAGCTGTTTTAGGGTTGCATACAATCAATACTTGTATGTTTTGAAAGAAAGTGTGTGTTGGGAAGTCTTTGCACTCCTATGTATCTTTCTTTAGCTACTGTGCCAAAAGAGGTCTGTTACCACTGGAGAAATCAATGAGATGATTACTCTATCTCTATGGCAACAAAATACCAGCTTTCTGTCGTGCATCTCCCTGGCCCTTAAGACATGTTTAAATAAGGTTTTCCTTCCCACACCCCATCAGTGCGTTAAACAGATCTATACCTGTTGTTCCTAACTGGCAGTTTTCCTTTCCTCAGAGATCGTTTAGAAGTGATGGAGGGTAAATAACATTTAAATGTGTAAATGGAAACAATACCCTTCTTGGCAGTGTGGTTTTGGTCATTAGTCCCAACTTGAATTTTATCACCATTACTTTTATTTAAATTGATGGCTTATGGAACAGAGATTTCAAAATCACAGGGTGTTTCTAAACACCTTGCGATGATGTTATGTTGAAAAACATGAGCTTTTGAAGACATGGAAAAATGGGAGAGATTTGTTTTATTTTGTTGAAGTAGCATTAGAATACAAATAAACTTACTCATTACAGCTCAGAATAAGACTGAGTGCTATAGGTAACAGCGTAAGCGATGTCTTGTCCATGGAAAACAGCTATGTCATCTGCTTAGAAAAGCATTTTTCTATTTTTAATCTAAACTGGTTTTAAGTTTATACTAGAGCCACATAGCTGATTTTCTTCGCTATCCTGAAAACTGAGTACATAGAAAAACCTACAGAAAATATTCACTTCCCAGAGATCAAACTGTCTTAGAAATGTTAAAAAGAATCACTTAATCTTAAAGAAATAATTAATCAGAAGCTTATTTTTTTTTTAACATAAAATGAGTCATGGAAGATAAGGACTTCGGTAATATGTATGTAATGTCACTGGACTACACAAAGTCATTCCAGACAGTAGTAGTCCTCCTATTGTATAGTGCATATTGAGATTTTTCTGAGTGTATTAGGTATGGGTTCAAAAAGTAACATATCTGATGATTCAACTGCTACGACTTTTGAAGGATTTGTTATATTTCAATGCACTGCTAATAGGCAGGTTTGCTGGAAGTTCAGTAATTTTTAGAACAGAAACCAGCAGGGCATGTATGTTTATAAATAAAGAAAAGTATCACCTGCCTAGGAAATGACATAACCTGTAGTCCATCACAATGTGAGAGTTTAATTCTTGTGTTGATTTTTTTTAAGTGTCTGAAAATAAAGTCCATTTACATGCAGCAGGCATGAGCTGCTTTTACAGCATGTGACTATGTCCATTTTTGCTCATCTTTCTTAACTCTAAAGTAGATTTCAGAAGTACTGATAGCAAAACTGCTTGAGTAAACCAGGGAGGACAGCAATCAGTGTCTCAAGATTTACAGTTGAAGTCTAGGCACTAAACTTGGGCATCTCTCATATGAAGAAAGCCCTGGGGCTCTTTAGCCTGGAGAAGACTGAGAGGGGACCTTATCGACACATATAGATATTTAAAGGGTGGGCATCAAGAGGAAGGGGCCAGTCTTTTCTCAGTGGTGCCCAGTGACAGGACCAGAGGCAACGGGCACAAACTGAAGCACAGGAGGTTCTTTCTGAACATCAGGAGACACTTCTTTACTGTGAGGGTGGCAGAGCACTGGAACAGGCTGCCCAGGGAGGCTGTGGAGTCTCCGTCCCTGGAGATACACAAAGCCTGTCTGGACGCGTTCCTGTGTGACCTGCTCTAGGCTAACCTGCTTTGGTGGGGGAGTTGGACCAGATGATCTCCAGAGGTCTCTTCCAACTCCTACCATTCTGTGATTTTCTGTGAAATTCCATTTTGTGGATAGTGATACTTTTTTGTGTATAAAAAAAGTTGCTTTAGAAAGTTGATAAAATCTAACTTAAGCCCCTGTGCTATGAATCATCCTTCACAGAACCTTTCAAGCAATTACTCTAGTTACTTAGTATATTGTAAGCTAAGTACTCATTTTAGCTTAGCATTAGGAGAATGTGCTTTCTGTTTAATTTTAAAGTTTCACAATTTTATTTTTTTTTTCAAAACTTTCCCTAAGCATTGATGAAATGTATTGGTTTTTATTCTTGTCTGTAGGAACTTATCGTGGCATGCTGTGTTGGAAACTCAAAATAAGATGTATATACCGCACTCCCATGCATTTATAGATTTAAATAATGACTTCACTGCAGGTAAGTCATGAAAGTGTGAAATACCTTCCTAAAAATATTTATCACTAAGTATACAATGTAATGTATTGCATTTTCTGTCTAGTATTTTAGTAAATTTCATTGATGGTTGTAAAGAGTTGATTCTGGAATGTTGGTTTTGGTAATCATATGACTTTGCTACTTCTGATTTCTTTTTTTTTTAATTTTATTTTTCATTATTTTATTTTAATATCTAAAATTTGAAAATTCTGCATTTTTAAAAAATAACTGCCAAAATGAATAAACTAATAACGTTTTCTATTTCTTGATGATAATTTAATTGGAAATAATGCTTGTGCTGAATGATTTTGTGTTTACCATTAATGCTTTGTTTCCTGTTCTTTGTGACACTGTACTCTAATATTCAGTTTGCAACTGAATCAGCAGCAGGGCTGCATTTTCTTAATCTTGAGTCAGAAAATAGCTTTATAGTTCATTCAGAAGAATGTTTTCAAGACTGGACTGATAATTTAAGATTTCAATGTGACGTCATTCTATTTCGTGGTAGTTAATTCTATCACTTACTGAGAAAACAGCATGTGAGACTTTATTCTTCTATTACTGTAAGAGCAATCCTATAACCTATTTATAATTCAGTGTTCACAAATGAGTACTGGAGACAACTTTTGTTATGGTAGATAAACTGTATTCTTCCTTTGGTGGTGGTGGCTTTGTTTTGTTTGGGGTTTTTTGTGAAATATGCAATGCAATTTAGCCTTCAGTTACCACAATGAATGTATTTATCACTTGTATACCTGGTTCATACCTCCAAGCATACTTAAATATTGTGCTAAACTTCATTTCTTCACATGCCAAATGAATTCTGAAATGCTCTATCTTCTGCTAGATATGCAATGTACATCAATTCATATATGGTAATTTTGGGAAAAGTGCTTATTTTTTTCCTATTCAGTAACATGGGAATGGGAGACGAAAAAGTCCATAAATTTAATTAAGATGCTTTAAATGTTGGGGATTAAGTTAATTGCTTTAGCGCATAGTCAAATCTTAATATTCAGTTCTGGCACATTGCTTCATGAAGCTGTCAAGTGGAAATTCTAACTGGAAAATTAAATATACGGTTGCTTACCATAATCAATGTCATGTAATAACCAAATTTAACACGCTCAGTTCTATAAATCCTTTGGAATTTTGTTTTAGTGGCATGGCAGTGTGGATCAGCATTCCAGGTAGCATTTTAAGACAAATATATTGAAATCTAAACTCACGGGTAGGTAAAAGTGGGAAGTCTAAGTTGCTTTCATAGATCAATCACAGACTGATCAATTTTTGCAAGAGTACACAGGTTTTTATGACAGCTAACAGCCTAAAGAATGTCCAGAGAGTACTAGCGATATATGGAAGTTCTTCTATTAAATAGAAATGAAAGTCAGGATCTTTGTGTGGGGAGTGCTGGGAGCTTTTATAGATTGACATCTATAGTCCTATCTTGCAGTGTGAGGAGAAGCTTCCATGACGCAGTCCACAGAGAGAGATCCTGGCTTGCATTTGCTTGTAACAGCAAGGATATAACACCTCAGGCTGAAATACATGTTTATATTACAGCAACCTGAGGAAAATTTCAAGGAAAATAATTCATTCAGAGAAGAAAAGTGGAGAAAATATTACCATAGAATTCTTTTCTTTAAAATAATTTTGTGCTTCTAAGACAGGAGTGGTAGATTGTTGGGGTTGTTTTTTTTGCTGTCCCTATGAAAATTGCACCAACTGTGACCAAGGCATATGTTGCTGAAAAATAACACCTTATCGGTGATATCTGATATTTCATGACTGGGGTGTTATTCCAAGACTGCCTGCTGCCAAAATGAGAAGTCACCAATCATCTGGTCCTGTCTGCACATTTATGGCAGTTCCCTCACATCAGCTATAGTAACTGCTCAGGAACTGGGCCTGGTGAGGAACACAGTTCATTTCTACTTGAGTTATTAAGCTGATCCAGCTCACCATGCAGCTTCAGGATTGCCATAACCAATTTAAGCACAGAGAGAAGGTTGACTCCTTTTAGTAGCAGCAGTTGTAGCCTGCTTTAACCAAGCATGAAATTGCACCTTGAATCTCATTGTGTCTCTTCCAAAAAATACCTGTCTAGTGTTCTCACCATGTCTCCTTTAATTTCTGTTAATCTGTACAGAGTTGGGCAAGTGACTTGTAGAAGTAGTCATAAAAGTTTATTAATTATCAGCTGATATAAATTTTAAAAAAAGGCAAACCAAAAAACAACCTGTATGTAACCATCTATACAGTGCTGATAGCATGGTGATTCTAAATGCACTCTGCCAAACAGGGCCAAAATAAGGTGCTGATATTACTGTAGTATGCCCACAACTAGTCCTGTGTCTCACTCTCTGCAGTCTGGATAGACTTTGCAGAAGACAGCTAAATGCTTCTTTCTCCTGTCCTATGAGGACAGGCTGAGGGAGTTCGGGTTGCTCACCCTGGAGAAGAGAAGGCTCCAGGGAGACCTTAGAGCGACCTCCCAGGACTTGAAGGGGGCCTATAGGAAAGGGGGGGAGGGACTTTTTATCAGGGGGTGCAGTGATAGGATGAGGGGTAACAGTTTCAAACTAAAAGAGGGGAGATTTAGATTAGGTATTAGGAGGAAATTCTTCACTGTGAGGGTGGTGAGACAGTGGAACAGGTTGTCCAAAGAAGCTGTGGCTGCCCCCTCCCTGGCAGTGTTCAAGGCCAGGTTGGGATGGGGCTTTGAGCAACCTGGTCTAGTGGAAGGTGTCCCTGTCCCTGGCAGGGGGGTTGGAACTAGATGGTCTTTAAGGTCCATTCCAACCCAAACCATCCTATGATTCCATGTTTGTTTAGGTCTGTTCCTTGTTAACACAGCTGGGGCAGCCCAGCCTCAATACACCAGCACCAGGGGAGTGAGATTCATGCTCGTTATTTCTCAGTGCAGTCAGTGGAGTCTGTTAGTTGTTGGTTGGTTCAGGTGGAGCTAGTGAAGCGGAGAGGATTCTTGTGACTTAGTATTCACCTGCACAACTATTCTTGAGCTGGAGCAAAACCTCATTAAGAATAGGTCCTGGTACGCATTAGAGTCCTATTAGTTAGGAGGGAGGCATTGACAAGGATGCAGGGGAAGAGACTGCATGCTGAAATCCTGTTGTTTGAGAAACTTAATAATCATGACGTTTGATGCTGTTGTGGTACTCCTTGATTGAAAAATTAAGAGTATTTACTCATAGGTAATGCTGCTATTAATGAATATGAAGATATAGTTGTACCTAAAATGGATGCACTGATTTTTGTTTACGAATAAAAAACAAACCTCCAGAATATGCCGTCTTTACTTGTTGGGTTTTTAAAGACCTTTTTCTAATATTCTGCAATGTTCTGGGGATCTTTGTATTCTGTAACAGATGCAGCCAATTCCATGATGTTTAGCTGGGCTATTTTTGGTAACTCTATCATTATAAACAGCTTAGGAGATTTAAAGTGTGTTTGACATGAAAAAAAAAAAAAAAAATCCTCTCTGGGCTGAGGATCTTTTTGCTAGTTTATTGCCTAACCCCTTTTCAACTTGCTGATATTAAACCCTCAACACAGAGCTTTTAATTGGCACACTTCTGCTCTGGGTAAAATGAAGTTGAATTGTTATGATTTCATTATATAAGAACATGTTCATAAAGATGTTCTTAATCTGTAACAGTGTTTCATGAAAGGCTAACTGTGTAAGGATTTCATAATCCAAAAATCCACTAACTAGAACAAAGATAATACTAATCTTTCCTGGTGAGATATAAACTAGGCTGTTTCAGATAGTAATACTGCTGCTGTTTTTAAATAAAGCATCCTCATGTAGAAATCTTAGCTTCTTAGAAATTTTAATTCAAAGTAATTTTTAGTTAGGCCAGGAATGTTTTATAATCCATGCAAAAATTTGCAGTATAATATTTTTACCAGTGGGTCTATGTGTGCTTTACAGATAAAGAGGAAGTAAACTTAAAATTTTCAAGTGTCTTCTGTATGTGTATTGTGTGTCGCTGCAGGGAGGAGTATCTAGTTCACAGAATGGCTGAGATTGGAAGGGGTTGCTGGAAATTGTCTAGTCAGCTGACCTACCATCAATGTCACTGTTTGTACATGCACCGAGATAGACTGAAAGATGAGGTGGGAACATGGTGACCCTTGTTAGACTAGGGCTACTGTGTGTCTAGTAATACATACTCACACTGGACCTTAGTTCTTTTTAACAGTTAGCTTAAGAAAATAATCTTGACACTAATAATAATAAGCTTGTCTGAACAGATTAACACCAGGTGTATTTTATAGAGCATGACAGTCCAGGTGAGCATTTCCAAAGCAGGCTGCTCAAGAGGCCTGTCTTAAAAAGTCATATACTCAAACTGAAAAGTTTACATCACGTGACTTAAGAAGTATTTGTACGTGATTAAATCTTTTGACTTATAGTGAAGGAGGTAAAAAAGTAACTTCTCTTTGCATTAGTTCACTCAAAAAGAATCTCAGTCTTTCTCAGAAACGTGTTTCAGATGTCTTAGATAAGAGGTGGAGAGAATGTTTAATTGTGTGAACACTGTTTGCAATATGGTCATTATACTGAAGATTTTACAACTCAAATACATGAACCAAACCATGGAGAAAAAGTGTTACAGCTAGAAACTGAGGCAGAGATAGGTAAAAGGACTTGACAAAGACCACCCAACAATGATGTAGAGGTGGGTACCAATACAGATAATCAATTTAAAGCCAGGCAATAGACAAATATATTTTGTTTATGGCATTGTTGATTTGCATCACAGTCAGTACTTTCAGACAAATACTTTGGACCAAGCTGAAGTTTAAATTTAGCATGGATCACTAGGTGAACACTGATTAGACTGTCTTAACATAAGCTCTCATAGGTGTATCAGGAGTGCTTTATCTAACATTGAAATTTTTAGGATAGCAGTTATTTTGCTACATGTCTTTTTTTTTTTTTCCTTCTAACT